GTAGGCAAGAGGTTAGTGGTGCAAGATCTTCTGGAAATAAAGCCATGTTGACAGTCCGATAGGAGTTTATTAGCAGTCAAATGAGCGATCAATCGATCCCTCCCAACAGATTCTATTACCTTGCAAACGACACTTGTCAAACTGACAGGGCGATAGTTGCCCGGCAGTTTTTGTCTCCTTTTTGAACAATGGTGTCACTTGAGCTTCTTTCCAGTCAGCCGGCAAGATCCCTTCGATCAAAGTTTTTCGAAAAAATGACGTCAAAGGGCTGGCTAGGACAGTTGCTAACTCTTTGAGTTATCTGGGGTGGGAGCTGTCCGGTGTACATGACTTGATTGGATTTAGAGCGATCAGGCGCTTGAGAACCTTTTCTTATTTTGTTTCAAAACTTGGTAATTTAGAGCCGACTGGGCGCTCCTCATTAGCTGGAATACTCTTCAAGTCCTCTTCAGTAAATACGCTACTGAAAAACCGATTGAGAACGTTAGCTTTGCCCTCATCAGAGGATATCTTTCGTTGATCTACTTTCAATTCAGAAATACCGTCTTTTATCTTGTACGTCTACCTAGCGTATAAAAAGAAGGCTTTCGGGTTCTTTTTTGCAATTTTAGCAATAACTTTTTCGCGGGTTTTTACAGCGGTGCGACAGCTTTCTTTAGCTTGATTTCGAGCTCTTGCGTATAGGTTATAGTCAGCATAGCTGCGAGTCTGTAAATAACGCTGGCATTTAATATTCCAATAACTCTGGTAATATCATTTCAATGGCCCGATAAATCGGGTGGCATGTGATCTGATTGCTAGAGAGTGGAGAGTTGTTGTACAGTGGGGAAAATAAGTATTTCGTCAATCGTCAGTCACCAATTGTGCAAGTTCTCCCACTTACAATGATGAGAGAGGCCTGCAATTGACATCATAGGTAGACCTCAACAATATAAGACAAGTCTCTTATACACATCTAGATGTGTATAAGAGACAGGTCCCCAGGTAAGTGGTTAGTGTCCCAGGTAGTGGTTAGTGTCCCCAGGTAGTGGTTAGTGTCCCCAGGTAGTGGTTAGTGTCCCCAGGTAGTGGTTAGTGTCCCCAGGTCTCTTATACACATCTAGATGTGTATAAGAGACAGGCATAACAGTGTATTCTGTTACTATCCTCCATGATTAAATTAATCGGCAAAGAAGATTCTTTACACTCCCCTTTATAGAGACCTATGAAAATTGTTATAAAGTAATACCTGTACGTTACGATACGTATGGAAGTTTGCTAGGTACAAGTACACAGGAAAGCCAAAGTTATCGAATTTATATGCTACTATCACAACTGTAGACATTTTTTTTAATTCCGTTCCACTCTGACGAAAAATCATTCAAATCTGAATCAGGCCATAAGATTGTTATGATCGGAATACTCCACGATGAATTAGCGAGGAGTGGACACATCGGGGCCACTGAAAACCTTTTCTACAAAGCACCTCAAAAAATATTACTTTGTGTCTTTTGATCAGCAAAAAAATATGTATCATAATTTACATTTTTCAGTGATTAGTGTAATCTCCATATAAGCTTTCGAGGAACATTCCTCCGTTCACACTCGTTATTAAATAAATGCTTGGACACATCGGGGCTTTTCTGAGCATATCGCACGTACAACTCAACATTTGGAACTAATTCCTTTTTACGACTGAGTTAACAGGTCCGGGGATATTAATCACCATACAATGATGTTTGGTCTAGTAGTTTAATCAATAGTCAAGTCGACACCAAATAGGTTGTGTAGTATTTCAGGAGCAGTTTCTATCCTTCTTCAGATTAGGCTAAAAACACAGACGGTTTAGACCAATATTTCTGCGTTACAAGAGCGGTTGTTGTTTCCTAAAGAAACAATAACCGAAACTACACAATTTTTAGATCGGGTACCCAATTAGTTAACTAATAAACGAAGAAAATTTACTTGAAAGTTACTAACTATCGAGCCTTCCTGAGTAACTACATCAGTAATTGTCCTCGGATTAACAGAGGAACAATGGCTAGATAGAGTCTTCCTCACAGATGTGTTCAAAATTGTTAGAAGTAAACAAATATCAGACGGATTTATTTCCTTATCTAAAAACATTACTCAATTACTTGCGTAGACTCAGTTGGTAGTTTAGTGGCCACATGTTTACTAGCGCTTCAGCTATTTAGCTATCTCGCACCGAAAGTCGAAGTTGAACATCACCAAAGAGATGGAAGGTCTCAGTTATAGAAGTTTCTTAAATCAAAAATTGTTCATCACCCACAAGGGGCGGAAGATCTCAATTGTCCAGCCCGCTGAAGCTGGTTCGAAAGAAGCAACGTTAGCATCTCAAAGAGACGAATTGACAAGGAGGGACAGGTGAAATACAACAGGAACGAGGACACTCGAACAAGAGGTCGCTTACACGGGACGTCGGCCACCCGCACGGGAGAGGCAGAGAAGGAAAATGTAAGGAATCATACCTACTTAATAACTTAACTTAAGGAATCCTACATAATAGGATTCCTGCATAAATAGGATGCCTACATAATAACTTAACCCCACAACTGAGACCTGCAGTCAGTCACCGCGAATTCAGCGGTGGGGCGCTCAGGAACAATCCCCCCATAGGAGCGCGAAATCCCATAGGACTTCTGACGAGCACAGACACGCGTCAAAAGTAAGGGGGCAACGGAATCGAAAACGTTAGCGGAAAGGAAGTAAGAGCAGAAGAATCACAAGAAACACCAATTAAAACTCAATATGTTATACGCTGCAATTGGAAAGCAAATACTGAGTAGACATGACTGGAATTTATTATCAGACGGATTTGCTTTTACTGTGAGAATGAACAAAATTTTACTCTACGCATCACAAATTCTTGACAACGGACTAACTGGAAATGATCCGTCTACAAAGTATATAAATTAAATCAATTTCAGTATGAGTTTCTATTTTTGTTCGAGTTAAAATTGAACAATTTAAAATGAAAAAATAACATATCAATTCATGACGGCTTAGAGAATCGCCAATTTATATCTACTCAAACTTTAATATAGGCTACCGTTGCATTCTATTTATTCCACAAAGTGAAAACAACTCGCTAAGTGTTGAAAAAATATTGCGCTATTCTCGAGATCAAACATTGGGTGACCGAGAATCTAACGAAAGACAATTGTATTCATAACGAAATCATATTCGCATAAGTTTACTTTTTCTGGTTTAGAAATGGAAACTCTTTGAAATTTTTTTTCAAATACTGTGTTCATAGTTAGTGTGAACATGCAAATGTTTCTAGACGATATTTTATATTCCACTATGAGCATGAAGTTTTCTATCAGGAGTATAGCTGCCAATCAGCGTCGTTGCTAAAGCGCGTTCACTGCATCAGAACGAAAATTTGTTTGTTTGCTGGAAAACCGCAAAAACGCTCAGTTGATTCGAGGACTTCAAAAATTACATCAGACAGCATATGGATTTTTCGTAAACACAAAAAATACACCAATAGTGAACGATTCTCCACGTCGTCTTGGGCTCGTAGAATTAATGTATCGGAATTTTGTCTTGTGAAGAATGAGTACTCGAGACTTCGCTATAGATTTTTCTTGGAGACAAGTCAAGTGCCGGCAGGAGAACAGTAACGAGAAAACAGCAGCACATTACGTCGCTTATTTGACTAGATGTGTCGAGGAGCTGCAAGACTTTGTTAACGTAACAACACCAATACTCAATCTCCAACTTTCATTAAACCTCTATCCATATTACCTTATCCTGACAGCATGATAGCTATGGTCCATATACATTCCCCTCTTCTAGATAGGAAAGATGCGCGAAATAATACAACTAGTATTGTTGACATGCATGCCTCACGTCCTAAAGATCTATTAATCAATGGTAATACAGATTACTAGCACCAAGGGATAGAACAACGATTCATCAGTCAAATGATAAACACAAACAATTGCTGATCCCAGGCACGACAACAATACACTAAGAAAAGCCTGACGCACGATTCACGGAGCCTCGAATGTCGCTAGTCTTGGCTAAAAATTAACAACGTCTCAAAACAACGCGACTTAAATAACAAACAAGAAACATTGTGAATACTACATAACCAAACTAAAATGCAATTCAACAAATATTAAACATTGTACCGAGTCTTATCTCTATAAATTATCCTAAACCACGACGCACTTTAAACACTTAGACACATAGAGAATACACGACGTCAAACAGAACAACAGAACAAGAATAAAGTTAGTTAAATCTACAGAAGATAAGCTTCCTTGTATTTCAGGTTCAAATATTGTTACTGACAGACAACTGTCTGTGGAAAAATAATCAAGAGACACTTACGTACATCAGTAACAACTGAAGCATACAGATACTTAGAATGATTTCAGTCTGTTACACCCAAAACACTCGGGAAAGATTGCCTAAAACAGATAATTAGATCGTTAAAAAGTTTATTGTTCAAGGTAAAATTTTAGGCGTGTGAGATACGGCTACATATGGTCTTGCATTGGGTGTCATAAATGCACCTTGACTGGCAAGCAGCGCTAAAATGATCAAAAAATCAATGGCTGAATGATCATCGATCAATGGCTGAACACCAGAGACTAAAGGTACACCGAATATCTGAAGATAAAACTAATTGAAACTGGTATTAATGCTTATTATTCATTATTTCAATACACTCGTCAAAATACTGAAGCTTTTTTACATGGAAGATTGTTAATGGTATTAGCAATTGAAGTGATAGACTAAGTAGCTTGATACGGGCTGTCTCCTTCAATAAATACATGCAAGCTGTAAGAAACTCATGGTTTAAAAACAGAATAATTGTTCTTATAAAATACCCTCCCTGTTATGGTAATGCGGTCAAATCAGAACTGATAGGCAGACACCGTTTTCAACAGAGCAATAAGAATGAGATTTATTTGATTCAATTTTAAAATTCAATATTAATGTGTATAGTAATATTACTATACAATAATATATTATAAAATGAATTCAATAATAAATTAGAATGTGCGCGCACGTTTGTGATAGGCTTTCATTAGTTTGAGAGCTAAGTTTGTCATATATCCGGCATTTAAATTTTGTCAGCCTACTCACTTGCACAGAATTTTTATAACTTCTCGTGAGCATTATCGATTTTAGCAGATATTACGGCAAAGTATGATCATGTGTCAAGCCTCGGCATCGCGCCTAGCAAGTATGATAACAACATGGACGGGCTAATCAACAGCGAGCAACAACTTCGATCCCTGAAAAAGCCTCGCCTAAGCAGCAATAGTAACAAGTTGATCGTCTCAACAATGTGATTCAGGCAGCGATGTCACGAGCAAACAAAGGCGGAAGATTGCAACCATGAATGAAAAGACGACTAGACAGGTAGTTGGCACAAGTAAAAATTTTACGTTGTGACCTCAAATTTTTTTCAATACATTTCTTAATATAGCGGAAACAACTCAAAATAAGTCGAGTTTGGTGGGGCAATTGTTCAATGACTTAATAAAATTTACTCTGCATTGCTGACATCAGTTCCTTTCATATTCCATTTTCTTTGTGATCAGCGCGGTTATAAAACTCTAAGAGATCCACACGGATCTCTGAAAGCTATGTCCCTGCCATCAGAAGAATGAATAAATCCAGCAAATCTGAGCCGTGCGCATTATAATTTGCAAAAATCAACCTCCGAAAGCGATCGAAATTCGATTTCCTACCTGCCATGAAACAAAGTTTTGAAATCAAATCATATGATTATTCGACTTTAATATAATAAGTACGCAATAAAAACTGAGAAACTTCGTGACCGTCACTTAAACATACGAAAAATACAATAACTTAACTTTTCATATAATTTGTATAAAATTAAACTTCCGGTAAACGAACTTCTTGTGGAAGGTTATTCAAGAACATTTGTGAGAAGTTAAGTTATCTACGCCTTTTTAACGTCAACCACGTCAGGCGGCTTGGCATTTTCTTCTTTTTTCGACTCTTGATTTTTCCCGCAAGTGATGAAGAGTAGAGGGAACATCCCCAGGATGCAGCCGAACACCACGCCAATAGCCCGCCCCTGAGGAACCATACTACCATAGAAATAATGCTTGTGCGGATTAGGCAATGCAATTTTTTAATATTATCAAAATTATAGGAAACATTTGAATAACAGACAGCTTGAAATTGTTTAAAATTAACATTTGAGTGCACAAGCGGCTGCAAGCTATCCATATTATGCGAGTCCAAACCTCTGCCATTTCCACATCTTAGTTTTGACATGTACAGCAACGTATGACCCCTAGAATAAACGCTTATATAATGATATTAGTACGATTAAGAGCAATTTTACAATGAACACTCACGGCATTAGCTGAATATCGCGCTCCAGGCGTCTCCATTTGCGTAGGTGTTAAAGGTGGAGCAGTAACACCAATTTTCTCAGCGGCCCACTCCACGTACCAGGCCGACCCAATGCCTGCCAAGTCACTGATGGTGTTACCGAGCGCTGCTGCTGCCATTGTGCTTATGCCAAGTAACGTGCCGATGGTCGCGTCTATGTAGTCGCCCTGTGGACAACATCTTGTTGATACTAAATATAAACACATAGCCCACCAACAATCTGGAAACCTAATACAAGAATTCCTAATATAAATCCAAATATATGAATTCTGAAAAAATAAGCACTCTAAAACAGAGGCCTAGTTAAGTGAAAATTAAGAGGCCATGTTTCTGAATAAGACAAAGAATAAAATCTTGTGTATATAGGTAGTCTGCAAACAGCTACCACATGAATCAGCTATTAAATATTTTGAGCCAAAATGTTTGAATAGGTAAGAGATACTTTAAAGGAAAACAAAACTATTTGAGAGACAACTTTTAATCAATGAAATAAATGATTGCAGAATTTATTGCAAAAACAGACTGAAAATAAATGTATTAGCTACAACTTACAGCAATAATCATGATGAGATTGTCAAGGAAGCCAAAGCCAACAAAGGGCAGTGCATTGAAGAGAGCCACTGCAATACAAGACCAGTTAAAACACAATAAAACTTTCACATGAATTCGTCATTAATTTAATTTTTTAAACGTTTGTGAACACATATACGTATATATAATCAAAAGACTATGAGTTTCAAATTTCTAAAGTAGCCATATGTTCCACATTTTCCAGATGAATTATATGCAGATTTCCCAACTAAGATATCTTAATTAATTATTATTTCATTGTTAGAACTCTTTGACATTATTTATTAGGGACTGTTAAATGAAGGCTTATTTCATTAAGTGGCTTACATTGTTGCAGTTGCTTTGCAGTTGGTTTAGCTGCCACTGCTGCAAAAAGAACATTTCACATGATATTTATACTGTTTTATTGGATACCATACATAGTTTTGATGGTGCATCAATACCGGTATTATTCTGAACTCAATTAATTATCTATGAAAAATAATGAACTATATACTTTTCTTATTTAAATTTTAATTTCTTGCACAGCTATTCGTAACTCATACTTATGCAAAGTCTTGACTACATATAAGCATCAATTTTATTCAAGGCTATAGTCACCATCAACAATCTTGAACAAACATTAAAAATGGTATCATCAGGAACACTTGTTTGAAATATTACCTGCTTTTTCTTTTAGCCATCCTTCAGGAATGGCACAGTAGGTGCCAGTCGGATCAGCCCCCAGCTTGTGCACAGAAGATGGTCGACCAAATCGAGACCTCCATCTCCAAGATGCCAATTTATCTGAAGAATGATAATTTTGCAAGATGGATGCTAAATTTTAAAATTCCACAAGAAATTGATAAGCAAATAAAATTTCATAAAATTTACCCTACAAAATTTTTTGGAATCCAGCTCAATTGTCTGTTTGCAAATTCAAGAATACTTAAACAATCCAGTGGCAGTTCAGTTGAAATTAAAGCATAAATTAATAAATAAAATAAAAAGCCCTTAAGGGGAGCGTCTGGGTCAAAATTGAAAATTTTGACTTTTTCAGTTTTTATCCTACTCATCTTAAAGCTTACATTCTGACGCATCTAACGGTACCAAAACCATCTCTGTACATTGATTTATGCCTTCACGACAGATTGCGAAAGGGTTAGGGGTGGTGGAGTTCCTTAACATTTAAAATAGGCCTAAATTATGGGTAGCACACTTAAATAGCTAGTCTGATCACGCTGTGCTTCAGTTATCTGCCTGCAGTCATATGGGATGGTTCTCGTGCCGTCGTTCGCACCATCCTTGACAGAAATTGAGNGTATTAACATATTATTAACATATTGAAAAATAAGGATTACATATTAATATAGGCAAAAAGTATCACAATGTATTTGGTTATGTTGAAAACGCAACATAATAGAATGTTGCCACAGCAAGTGCTCATTATCGTCTCAGACAAATTTACGTCCGGACTCACGCCCGGCATCTCATTACCTGGGGGAGAGATCTGCAGAGCCAAACGTTTTGAAAGCCCTGAATCCTGAGATAATTACTACAGTTTCTGTGCTTCTGGAATCAATGATTTTCAGCGCGTTATTAGTTCATATTAAAACTTGGTTTTTCTTATTTACTTAGCATACAGTTGAACTTATTTGCAGTTCATTTTCATTATTCAATTACATTGTTCTAATAAATCAAATAACTGATAAGATTTCAAAAATGTTTTCTAATGATATTGTGTTTTCTAATAGCATAAAATAGCATTTGTCGACTTGAATACCTATGTTCTAAAATTAATGGAAACATTAGTGAAACACTTAAATTCATTATCAATCACCCATAAAAGTGTTCCAAATGGGCGGGATTTGTTGTCATTTACATAACAGTGTGTGAAGGAACGCAAAAGATAAAAAAATAAATATAAGGCTACACATTTGCTTGCATAGCAATACAACCTTGGAAGCGCGTGCGATGATTTATTAAAGCAGCAGTAATACTAAGCAATATCTATGTATACTAAACTTTTGTGCCCCATTGATTCAATCTAGACATATCTCTGGTACCACGTCATGGATGAAATGATTAATTATTAAACGCAAAAAAATTAATGCGGCATATAATGACGTCCACCTAAGTGAATTTCTTGCCAAAAATAGATGCCTTGAGTGCCATCTTGTTGAGAAAAAAATAGATAACCAGTTGAAAAGTTTGCATGTAAGACTGTAGTTTGCACGTAATTTCGTAAAGACTCTAATAAAATGATTAAAATTATAATAATTTTATCGTTGTCAATGTCACAGCCACATAAATCACCTTCAATTAAGCAGCTACAGCACCTTACTTGCCGCTCGTCAATTTAAGCCATTTAATATTGGTCCGAAGTCCGAACTATGATTTGTAAGGTTCGATTGCCACACAATAACTAAAATGCTTTTTCTATCATGCCACAAAATTTTGGCTTAGTTTTGTTAACTAAATAGATCGTAACTTATGAAGGACGGAGACAAAATGTGTTGTTGCCTGTAACAAAGTTAGTGGCATTGACAGTACAGTAGATTGATTGGGAAATCTCATTCAACGTTTTAAGAGATCGTTTGTATACTAGCAAACACTCGCGTTTCTCAGGGTTGGCGATTTTTTTGATTTTTTCATGATTTTATTTATTTATTTGATTTTTTTGATTTTTTCAGCTTTTTTGTATTTTTGAGGTGTTATTTTTTATGTTGCAATTAGCCTACTAACAATAACAGTATATGGATCATAATGGATGGCTAATAAGGGCACTTATTGCCTTCAATAATGGCCAACAGGCCAAGGT